AGTAGCTGAGATATACGCAAAGCGAAAGACCCGGATGGTGAAGTGGTGAACTGCGCTGCTCTCCGGTAAAGACAACAGCGCGTGTTCGTTCTCCACTGCATACACCTGTGGTCGGGAGTTTTGCAAATATCTCAGCATTTCATACGAGTTATATTTCGCAACATAACTTCCACAGGTATTTGTAAGAGTGGATATGGTGGTTTTCTGTGTGGTCAACGGGTGAGACGAAGAGCTGCGAGCGAATGTAAAACCAGCAAAAAAACTGAAATCGTTTCAGCCACCGGGATGTGGGGAAGAGCTTATTGCGCCTAAAAAAAACAAGTGATTATCTCTAAATTTGGTTTTGAATACTATGTTAGCGATCAGTTTGACTTTTGAGATTACATAATTACGGTATGACTGTCTGAATAAGCATTATGGGTTAGGTCAAAGATTTAGCAGGATTCAGGCGCCCCCATGAAAATAAATTGAGGTGGATATCTGGTCGAGGATATCTTTTACGGCCGTAACAAGAGTGGACGTCAAAGAGGAGGTGTCGAAATCTAAGCTCAAAAGGATCAGAAACTGGCGGGTTACCGGCAGGGACTACTTTTACGTTTCATATCATAATTTCAAACGTTGTTCTTTCAGCTTTTGCTCGACGAATGGTAGCGAAGCCCCATTGTCTCCAGTTATAATCACTTGCCCGTGATTCTATTCAACAGGGTGGGCGCTATGGAGGCAAGCTTCACATATCGTTACATCGATTGAGCTCCAAGTGTTGGCTGCTTGTGTTAAATTTTGCACATGAAGTTCTCGTTTGTATTAAGGATATCAGAAAAAAAATACGGACCAGAAATCTGGTGGTGCGGAGAAAGAGCGGTTTCTGTGTTCATGTGGTCAAATTCCACATGGTCCTTCTCTCTAGCTCTACTCTCTAGTATATTTCATTCTTTAGAAATAGACTGTTTCTCAAAATGATTGCAAAAATTAGTTAACGTGAATCCATAATTTTCTGAGTGCTTGATATGTACATATATATATACGTATATATGTACGTATATATATATATATATATATATATATATATATATTAGAAAGAGAGACTTCTTGAAAAAGTACTAAAAGAATGTTGTGGGAAGGGAAAAGAAAGCCAATGAAGTGGAATGGTTTGACAAAGGGAAATTGATGATTGGTTGCCTTCAAATACATTCCCTATGAGTTTGAAATTTGTACCAGGGTTTTCCACTCTCGCAGTACTCATTCACAAAGTTATTGTTGGCTCTGGTTTAATACTCGGAAGAATTTCTGACATACATTCATGAAGTGGAAGAGAGGGGAAGCAGTCGAGGAAAAGGTTGAGAAAATTCCAGCAGCATCTGTATTTGACCTTCTTTGCAATCGCCGTCGTTTTTGAAGAAAATAAAACAAAATACAACACAATAGGTCAATGTTACACACTACAGATAGAAGAAGAATTTCCATAAGAGACAAGCTTCCCTCCGTCAATTACTAGTTTCTGCTCAAGCTTTTGCCCCTTCTCCAACCTTTCTTCTTAACAGACATTCAAATATTGTACAGCGGTGAATCATGGCACATCTTGCCTATCGATCAATCACCTCCGTTCCTGAAAATAACTGTAAACGCCTATAATAGTGGCCGCCTTTTTTAAGATGAAGTATTTTCTTAGTAATCTAGAAATAAAATTATATTGAACCTCCCTATGAACTGGCGGAGCACATTTGCTAGGAGCTCAAAGACATCCATCAAATAGATTTCGAAAGTGCCCTTTCGCTGTTCTCATTTTTCGTTCCATGTGTGATTCTGAGCTACCTGAAGCACTACAATGATCGACAGTATGATTTTCGCTACAGTTGGCTAGGTTAACGAAGTGAAACATTGACGACAGAGAGATTATCTCGTAGAACAAAAGACAAGTCGAACGATCCTGAATTTACTCCACTTTTACATTCTTTAAAATTTTATTTTGGACAAATCGACACAAGTATTTAAGCACTTCTAGATAGGATTCGTTTCCTCGACTCCATAATCACGAAGTGCAAGTTTTCTTTTAGGTTCTGCTAATGCTTCTGGATTTTTGACTTTTTTGTGAATGTCACTGAATGTCGCTCGAAGTCGGTGTTGCCTGGAACACTGTGTCTTATGCCGTTGTCTGACCTTCATCATAGATAGTCGCCAACTTTTCTGGATTACTTAAATCGATTGACTCAGAGAAAGCTAGAGCTAATCCTTGGACCCCGAAGAGACGAGGAATATGTCTGACCCGGATGTGGTCGATCCAGCGTCCTGAGCAAATTGGACGCCAACAATACCACTACGCTACCCAGGCCCTGTATATTTATGCGCACACATATATATAAGAGTACTGACTACCTCAAACGATTAAAAATTCTTTATATTTTTGTTGAGCAAACACATGGTGTTATTTTATATTTATTACGATAAAGCTGACGCTTTGGCGCTTTTCGCCTGCCTCAAAGCCTGGAAAGGTCAAGTTGCCCGCAACCTACCCGGCTAAACGCCTACATAGGCAAGCAGAGAAAATCCTAAGCGAAGATTTCAATCACATTAAACGCAGAATAGCTTTTTCACACATTCATCGTTTTGTATGAGGCTGCCATTGAGCGTGTGACATGAAGACCAACCGAACAGAGTTAAAATGGAAGCCTAGTGTGTTATCCACATTAAAAAAATCATTCTTAAATACTTTGTGAGATCACGCGTGACTTTTAAGCATTTTTTCCTGAGGCTCATTTTCGGATTCTTGGAATATATCCAGAGCGCTTCAAGAGTTCTGCGCTGGTGTTTTCGATTCTTGTGCAAGAGTGGGAACTCAATTTTGAAATCCTTCTCGTCTCTGTGTCCTGTGAGCTCCTAGTGGAGTAACTGGTTTAACTTTAAGTCTACGCCTAGGTGCTCTTATATTCGAAGCAGAGTGGTCTACCCGTTTTGCCAATATATTCTTCCCGCATGCTTCAAAAGAGATAAAATAAACTGTACCCGTACTTAGAGCGCTAGGTGAGATAACCGAAAAGCATCTTGAAGATGTTCCTTTTATCATTATCCACGACGAAAGTGCAATATACATGTATGGCTTTACGATACAGCAGTTGATAACTCTATTAAAGGAGTGCCTAAACTGCCTAATCTTCAATCTAAACTCAAATAGTCCGAGGGGTACTTAGCACAAATGAGCGTTGACAATGGTGTAACGGCTGGCACCAAGTCTTGATATTCCATTTATATCTAAGGTGGAAGCACCAGCGACCGATCTCAGGCCGTTACTCTACTGGAGATATATAGATCACTGCTTGGTCATTTGACCATGTATTACTCTGTGCGGCCGCTATCCATCAACTAACTTAAGTACTTACAGCAAATAAACGGTAGGTGTTTAAATGAAGCTGTTTCCTATGCGAACGCAATTTTATTTCCTAAGTTTTATCTGCTAGGGTTATGAAAGTGTTTGGCTTAGTAGATCGCATCTCAATTTGACCTTTGCAAGTTCTGAAGAAGGTGAAACCGCCGAAACGTCAGCTATTGTATCCTAATAAATTCTATAATAACAACCTCGTGTCTGCTTATTGAAGAAAAGCATCGAATTATCAATCAATGCCGAGGATAACAGAAAGTCGGTCTTGGGGACTTTGTTAATTGTTCAACACAAGAGGAAATGGAAAATTGTTTTCAGTTATTGATAGAACAGACGGAGTACATTAAGTTTATGCTAGAGAAACCGAAAAAAACTGACATACTTTTGTGAACGTTCAAATTAACTTATCGGAAAAGGGCTGCACTAAGAAGTCGTACCGAAGGCATGTATCACCTGTCACCTGTAGTCCTGTTAATCGTCGAGTGACTCGAACGGGCGCAGTAAATCTTCCATTTTTCCCTGTCGCGGGCAAGAGTAGCGCAGTGGGTTCTGCTCGTCCTAGAGACTCGTCGAGCATCATATCTTTTATCAGGGCTTTTTGTGAAGAACTCTGACCATCGGGTCGGTGGTCTTCCTGCAGTACGTTCGACATCCCGAGGAATCCAGTCACTAACTGTTCTTGTCCATCGGTTGTCATTCATACGCATTACGTGTCCGGCCCACCTTATCTTCGACTCTTTGGCGTACAGAACGCATCTTTGATTTTTGATCGTTGACGCAGATCGGAGCTTCGGGTCTCATCCCTTACATGTGTGGAACGGGATACTTCTAGTATCGTCCTCTCAACTGCGCGTTTGATAACGCTGAGTGACCTTTCATCCTGCTTACGCAGCGTCCAGGTTTTTGACACATACGCTAAGGCAGGAAGTAGCGTTTAGTCGAAAAGTGGACACGAAGTCGGGTGTTCATTGTTTTCCTCACTACATCCTCGATGCTCTTGAAAGCTCCCCAAGCCGCTCGTTTTCTTCTTCTCAGCTCTGGAGATAGATATAACTGGAGCATTCGGAGATACTCCACCCGTTGAGCGTGAATGGGACATGGGAAACCAAACCGTTCTTCATGAATATCGTTTTTGTAAGATTTAGTCGTAGACCAATCATTCCACAGGCTTTATCGCAGTCGTCAATCATACGTTCCGCTTAGCTAATGTTTGGTGTTATAAGGACAATGTCATCAGCAAAGCGAAGATGGTGTAACTGTCGGCCGTCGATTTTTACTCCTATATTATCCTATTTCAATGTTCTGGAGGGTTGTGCTAAATAATTTTGGCGAGTTGCTATCGCCTTGCCTAGCTCCTCTTTTGACATCAATGTTAATATCGTTGTAGAATGGTAAAATCTTGGTTGTGAAATTTTTGTACAGCTCACGAAGAATCATTATGTACTGGGTAGGAACTCCTTGGCCAACAAGGGCTTCCAAGACTGCTTCCATCTCAACTGAATCAAAGGCCTTCCGTAAATCGATGAATGTGAGACGGAGCGGTCTTTTATATTCTCGCGATACTTCAATGAGCCTTGTTATCGTGTGGATGTGGTCCATCGTGCTAAATTCTTTTCGAAACTCTGCTTGCTCACATGGCGGTCCTTCACCTAGTGTTCTGTCTATTCTGTTTAGGATGACTCTAGTGAAATGTTTGCAGACGAGTGACAGAGAGCAAGCAGATTGGTCGATAGTTGCGGATATCGTGCAGGTAACTTTTCTTGAACGACAACACGGTCCTGCTGGTCTTCCAGTGAGTAGGGAACCTGTATTCGGAGAAGTAACGTGTGAAGAGCCAAGCCAGTGTGTTTACGAAGACTGGCGGAAGGTTCTTTAGGCGTTGTGGTCTTATCCTGTCCGAACCTGGTGCTGCTCGATTTTCCATCGATGAAATGGCATGTCCGACTTCGGAAGGGAGAACCGGTGGTACAACAAATCCACCCTCCTTTATTTCACGCGACGAAAGGTAGACGTGGCTATCGAAGAGATCCGAGTAGTATTTGTGAATGATTTTTTCTATTGCCTTTCTGGACGTTGTAACGGTTCCATCTGGGCCCTGGAGAGCAATTATTTTGGTCATGTAATTGGCGAAGCTTCTGTGGGCTTTGCGAATGCCTTTTCCATTCTCTGTAACTTCGGCTACTACTGCTGCTCTTTTTTCTCTAAGATCTTTTTTTATCGCCTATTTGCATTGTTTTGCAAGTTCGGACGTTAGTTCGCGGTTGGCTGCAGCTCGTGCGATTCCACGCTAGCGTATCAGCTCGAGTGTTTCTGGAGACAGATGTCTATTGGTGACTTTCGAACTCTGAGCTTTCATAACGATAACGTGAAGATGTTGAATGAGCCGATCGTACTCTTCGCCGATGTTATCGACAATGGCATCTTCCCAACAGCCGACTAATGAATTGAATAAATCCCAGTTTGCGGTGGTTCTGGAGCTTCGGTTTTGGAACTTGGCGGCTTTTTCCCCTTCCCGCGAGAAATAGAATCTTGCACAAAGGAGACGATGGTCTGATCCCATGTAGAATTTTGGGACAACAACGAAATCGGTTAGGCTAAACCTTCTATTTACTATGATGTGGTCTATTTCGTTGTAGTACTCTCCACTGGGAAACTCCCACGTCCAGTGCTGAGGGTGGGGCTTCTGGAATTGCGAGTTACCATGGATTGTCTTGTCGCCATGATGAACTCAAACAGCCGCTTACCTTGTTCGTTTCATTCTAATCCGTGGGTTCCAATGTGACGTTCTTCAAACGTTCTTCTTGGTGCAATCTTGACGTTGAAATCTCCAATGATAACCTCGAAGAATGTGTGGTCTTCTGTGTAGAACTTCTCCAAGTCCATATGGAACGCTTCAACTTCTTCTTCTTCGTAGTTTGATGTCGAAGCGTAAACGACGAAGATTGTCAAATCTGGAATGATCCACGTCTTTTTAATCGTAAACGTCCGATTCGAGTTGAGCAACCATCAGTCCCGAGTCCAGGACCAGTCCCACACGTAACATCACGGTGAGTTGCATTTTTGCTCAATATGACGTCTATTTGAAAGTTTGATCTTCATTAACACTTTAACCTTTTTTTTCCACCGAATAGTAAAAAGTATTCTAACATTAAATAGGTCCAGGCTCTGAGGAAGGCGAAGTCGCCGAAACGTCAGCCATCGACCAACGACATCGAAAACAACGACAACGACAGCGAAGACCTGTACCAACCTCGCGTCAGCTTAAGAAGTTCAGTTTATAAGATTACATAAATAAATATATCAACTATCTATGCCGAGGTTTATAGAAAGTCGGTCTTTCGAGTTATATTATCGATGAGTTTAAAGAAAAAGAAGGTCCGACTAACAATAGCAAAGGCATTTTAGCGTCGGCTTGGTTGCTGAAGATCTATGTACAATCGCTCCTGTGGACGGCGCATACTATTGTAATCCTGCAAAATGGTGTCATGGAAATATTGTCAGTATCGTTGAGGTCTTGCGATGAATCGCTAACCAACTGGCGAGTATATATTGCTGGATACATTGGTATCGGACTATCAATTAAGCCTCTCCAATGTAATAGAAATATCCTACCTAGGACGGATAAAAACATAAAAGATAGAGCTCCACTTGCCAGTTAATTCCTGAGAGATGCGCCATGCATTGCTCTTCACCAAGCATCACTAGAAATAACTGAATACAGATCAGGGCTATATAATGATTTGCGGTGGGCAATCGATGTATCACGACAGGGCAGCTGTCCTCCCAGATAAGTGCCGCGCCAATTTTCCCCACTCCGGATGGATGGAAGGATTGGTGAGCCAGGGCGCAGAGTCGAGACAACGCCCACGTGTGTATTGCAAGGTATCTATATCCACTGAACCACACGCACTCCTGTATACCATGCTACCACGGAATATCGACTGGACCAGGATCTAACGGCATCCACAAAGAAGAGAAAATCCTCAAATAACGGCCCAAAATGCGCTTAAAATCGCAGTGGTAAGTGGATCATGAGTGCGACAGTGATCTAATGAAAGAGGTAATTAGATTTCCGCAATATAGGATGTGGAGAGGGATCACGTAAAAAATTCTCAACAAATTGAATATGCTGGCAACAACTCTTATCGATGTGAACGACATTTTAACCGTGAATGCCAGCTAAGCATACGGTCAAATCAGTTTGTTGTGGCAATAGGATATTTCACTCTCTTTCTTTAACTAAAAATAACCTTAAGTAAGAATTTCAAAAGTATAATAAAATGTAGAAATAACCATATAGAAATCATGTCTTCTTTAGAAATCCTTTAAGACTATGTAGAATGATTTGATTTCGCCACTGTCATAGCTTGAAGTTGAAGTGCTAACAGCGAGCATTGTTAAAGTTGATTTTGGCCGATATTTTTTTATTGGTATAACCCTGAGTTATATCTCTAATGTTGGAAAAAAGCGATAATAAACGTATTAACGAAAGTACTAAAGCCCTAGAAGAACTCCATACTACAACGCGTGTATTATAAGTGAAGATCGTCACTATTCTCAAAGTTTAAAATTTTTTAACGCAGAGTGGAACGACTATGAGATTTAGTTTCTTTCCGTTGAGTCAGCTTCTTTAATAATAAACAAAACTCTCACTCGGCTTAGCGAACTTTACTGTAGAAGATGTTATTCCCACGGACAGCGGAGAGGAATCCAATCCCATGTGGTCTATTCACTGATATGAGGATTACAGTCGACGTCACATGCAAGAAGCAGTTCAAGTAAATGTATGCATGCAAGTGACAACGAAGATAAAGAAGACATGTATTTGTTCATTAGTAAGGTAACACGATATTGATAAAAAAAAAATAGGCTTTATTCGGCCAACGTCCGTGCATCCTCGGCTTCCTCATTGCCGGATTGATCCGGGGAGGCTGTCCTCAGTTCTTCCTTCTTCCTGTATGGATCTTCATGATCGTATCGAGTCAAATCTAGTGAAGCATCGCACGAATAATGAGCTTCACTCAGCGGTGCTCTTCTACACAAGATGGAAGGTGCCGAAACGGCAGCAGAATAAAGTTTATTATGAACTTCGTGTTACCTTACCAATGAAAAATACATACCGATTAGTCATACCAAGGGTAAAGGGAACTTGGTTTTTGAAATAAGGAAGGAATATTTCTCACATTAGAAAGGGTCTCAAGGCGAATGTTGATTTACAATTTATAAAATTAATTTTAGCTCTCTTCAATATTTTGTACTATGACTTCACGACTCGATGGGAACGGAGGGTACGGTTGGCACAGGAGGGGTTGAACCAAACCGGAGCGCTCATTTTTCTACTACGCTTCTTTTCACTACGCTTGCCACCACTCTTTACAAATTGCACACCTTCTGTTCAAAAAACGAAATTGATAAATCACATTTAATAGCTCTCGTCTAAATTCCTAATGAAGAGTCACCGCTGAGTAGAATTAAATGATACACAGAAGTACTACTATTTAGGCTTACAGAAAAAGTAGAACAAAAGCAGAATGTCTCCAAAGGGTCCACAGCCAGTTTTATTCAAAATTCTTCAAGTATTCGGTAATGAAAAAATAAAATATGGGAACGACTATAATATCACAGGACATCCAAAACAACTAGGACACAATATGGAAACGATGAAACATCTAATAATAACATGGTTACAAACATTTTTTGGCACTTTGCATGAGCAACGTAGTGAAAGGCACTGGATATAAAGACAAGTCAAAGTTATCACAGGAGCGTTCAGACTGAACCATGTGAAGAATATTAAGAGACAATGGAACCAGACCTAAAAGTAATCTACATCACACTTGACTAACACGACTTCTTTGTTGTTTTTCGTACGAAGAAGATGGTAGGAGGGCCGATGCCCGATTCTTTCGAGAAGATCCTTGCGATGCATTCCTATCTGAAACGAGAAGAAGTGATGAAATGTAGAAGCAATAATTGAATAGAACTAAACGAACCGCTTTGACTCGGACGTATGGCAAACGCGTATGAAGACGAAGATGGTTGGATAACTCGATGACGATGAGACGGACCTGCCCAACTACGGCTGTGCGCTAGAACAAAGGCTGTAATTTAACGGTCGATTAGAACACGACTAATTTAGTAAAGAGTGAAAATTTACACAGTTGTTAATAACGCTCATGTTGACGGTGTTCAGGAGTGCAAAGGAAACAACCGTAATGAGCTTCTCTCTCATATTTCGCTTTTTCGAAGCATAACGGACTAGAACCAACAAACTATACGGTAATTAGAAAAAATTTTCTGCTTAAAATTACGTATAGTTTAATTTTCTGTTTAGCGTTTAGCACTTAGAATATGCACGCATTTGAAGGAAAGGATCCGAAGCTCCGGCCTGCGTCAACAATCCAAAATCAGGGATGTCCTTCTGTGCGGCAAAGGGTCGAATATGGGGTGGGCCGGACACGTAATGCGTATGAATAACCACCGATGGACAAGAGCCGTTAATGACTGGACTCCTCGGGATGTTAAACGCACTGCAGGAATACCACTGACCCGATGGCTAGAGTTCTTCATGAAAAGTCTAGAAGAAAGATATGATGCTCAACGAGTTCCTAGAGCGAAAAGAACCCACTGGGCTGCTCTTTCACGCGACAGAGAGAAATGGAAGATTTACTGTTGGTGTTAGTACCCGCTAAGTCACTCGATCAGCGAGACTACAGGTGATACAGCTAATGCCGTAATATTTTCCGGACTATCTGTGCATGTTCTTTTACTATGGGAAATGAATTTATCACAGCATTTAGTCATTACAGCAGACGCTTCCACGCTTTCACCTTCTTCAGAGCGTGGAATGATTAAACTGGCAACCAGTCAACTCAGCCGAACACTCTCATAACCTCAGCAAATAAAATTTAATGCATAAATTTCATTGGCATAACAAACAATTTGTTTTATATAACCAATATTTTGTTCTTTATAGGCCTCCCAGTTAATACTTGGAGACCAATCCTACAGGGTCCTACATGGGTGAAGAATGTCACGGGTTCAGGTCAAAAAATCAACCTTAGGAATGGGGCGGAGGTCATGAGTAACCATAAGGCACTTTGAATATCTATTGGGTCGAATGCTAAGTAATCTTATGGAGAAAACTCGAAAACCTACTAAGCAAATCCCATAAGCCAGCTTTATGAATGATGAAACACCGTTACGAAAGTGGCAAAAGTCAAACTACGGCCAGTGACAGGATGATTGCTGATGGCGCTGATCGATAGAACTAGTTGAGAGAGAGGGAAGACGTGCGACCCGCATGGCGTGGTGGTGAACGCGTTAGCCGCCGGTAAAGGTAATTGCGCGATCCCCACCACAGACACTTGCGGTCCGGTGTTTTGCAAATATATCAGCATCGTTGTGGTTGTGTTTCGCATAATGCACTGACGGAACACTTACTGAAGCAGAGCTCCGTCAGAAATCAGGGTTTCGAAAAAGATCTAGAGTGATGGACTAGTTCCACACAAGAGGAATACTCACTGAAGTAATGCGAGAGTACAAGAGACCGCTCTCACTTCCAGCACTATAAATAACGCTTTCGAATCAGATGAGGTAGAAGCAGTATGGAAGCTCTGGAGAATTAGGACATGTCTAATCCCTACATAAACATTCTTCATGTAAAGGTTGCCAAACCATAGCACCGCCATTCTACAGCGATATTAGTACCAAAGTAAGAAGAGGATTAAGAGAAGACGATAACATTTCTCCAAAATTATTTACAGCTACCGTCGAGAACCAGTGAACATTGGAATAGGACAACATTGGAGTGAAAATTGAATGCCGACAATTACAACATCTTCGCTTTGCTAATGACATCATTCATATAGCGACAAACATTATCCAAGCGAATTCAATGCTCGCCGACCTTGGTAACGCCAGTAGAAATATTTGTCGTCGACTAAATCTCATAAAAACGATGCCCATGAAGAACGGATTAGTTTCGCACGTCCCATTCACGCTTATCAGAAGAAATATCTCAGCTACGTCTACCCAGGTCGCGAAGTGAATATAATGAACGAATTGGCATCAAAGTTGAGCAGAAGAAAATAAGTGGCTCGGAAAGCTTTCAAGTGCATTGAAGATGTAATGAAGAGAACGAAGAACATCCGATTTCACAACCATATCCTCGTCTCCACAATTTTTCCTGCCTCAACGTATGCTTCCGAAACGCGGTTGCTGCTTAAGTAGAATGAAATATCAGTGGGTGTTATTGAAGGCGTGGTCGAAAGGACGATGCTAGGAGTGTTTCGTGTCAAACAAGTGAGGAGAAGGATCCTAAGCTCTCGTCTATGTCAACGATCAAAAATCAAAGATGTCGTTCTATACGAGGAACTTCTAAAGAAAATATGGGCTAAACGCGTTATGTATATGAACGACAACTAATGGACAAGAGTCGTTAGCGACTAGATTCATCGAAATGACGCACATTAGAAATATCAGCGAACCAAAGCTCCGAGTTGTTCACGAAAACTTTGGAAGAAAGATGTGATGCTCAACGAGTTCCTTTCTTGGGGCCGGCAGAACCGTTGCGCTACCTATGCACGCGACCGGGAGATATGGAAGGCTTACTGGCGCTCGGTCGAGCCATTCGACCATAATCGGGATGACAAGTGGTACAGGTGGTCACGTAATAAATGCAAACAAGGAAAAGGTCGCTTAGAAAAGAGATTTTTTCACAAAAACATCCAAAAGATATCATGACGCACCACCTATCAAACATTTACCGAGCTAAAATCTCGCCCACTTACGTATTTCTTCGGACACTTCACTATCTGAAGCAAATGATATCTTCTTCGGCGGTGTTGTGTCGCACGAGAGGTTTGACGGTAATACGAATTGGGAACGAGATGAATTAGCAAATGATGGCGGCTGGCTCAAAGATTCTGGAAATATTGTGGTTTTCAGTGGAATGAATCCTGACAGAACACTTTTATTTACCGCATACTGTCGTGAGGGTCTCGGAGGAAATCGAGCCCTCCACACGTCTTCCACTGCTTCTGGTCAGCTGTGCGGTGATGTCAATTTCAGACGGTGATGACTTAAATATTACTTGACCTTTGTGTTACTAACTTCAATCAATTAACCTTTTTGTATATTCTCATAAAAATAACACATTTCTTACTTAATGTATTTACCGAATGCAGCCCATGATTTCTTTTCGTGATAACGCGCACTACGCATAGAACGTTACTTTTCTGACCAATTACTCCGAAATACAGCAAAAACTGTCCGATATCTAATTAGGAGTGGTGGAATCAGCAAGCATGCAATCGGTTTGGATGGTCACAGATAGTATCAGTAGTACAACATGGAAACAAGAGAATAATGAAAATAGCAAGGACGCTTGTTCAAAAGGGTGCAAAAGACGTTTGAATAAAGGTAGAATAAACTCCATTAGTTTGAGCTGTCATAATCTTTTGTTTGTTAGAGCTACTATAAGGGTAGTAATGTTCAGCGTCTTTAGCGACTCTTCACTGGTGAACTGCCTATGTTGAACACTCTGTTCAACAAAATTAACCTCTCACCACATAATTACCTCGCCCAAAAAGTTTTCTTTCTAAATTAGTGAGGGTAAAGAATAGCTGTTCACGAACCACTCCTAATATTGGACCTGCTCTTACCACTCTATCTACAGAATACAAAAACTGCGCCAAAAACCCTTGGAGCCCACAGATGAGGCTTGACACAACATTAGGTTGCGAGGTCGTGTTTGTGTTTAAATGTGACGTAAACCAAGAAAATACTGTATTATTCAATGGAAAGCTTTAAGCTCGAGACTTTTGAAATTTAGAGAGCAAAAGTTTTTGTCTTCCAGACTTTAAGTGCAGAATTTGTACTTAGGAGAAAAAAATGTTTGTTACTTGAAAGTCCGCTTTAGAAATAAAATTTAACACTAACGAGAGGTCTTGCATTGATTTCCCTCATGATAGGCCGAATCATCAGCGGTGCACTCTGTTTGCACAACGTGTAACTGCCGCTGCCTGACTTTTCTGAAATTGCGATCATCATGGTCCGTTGATTTCAGCCGTAATAGTCATCGATTACGGCTGAAATCAACGGACAGTCGGTTCACTTACCAAAACGAGACGACTCGGAAAGCCTTTCGACATCATAGTATCCTTGATGGGAAACGCTTCGCTCGAGTTCCATTTGCTCACTTGAAGTACTATCCTGCGAGACGTCAAAGGCGCCATTGTAATGCCCACAGCATGGAGGATACGGCTTGTCGTCCTGAACAGGTAGAATTTCCCAGCATTTGTATTAAAAATAACAACTTGGATAAGTTTCTGGAAAGCCGAAAATGGCGGACAAAAGAAATCCCCTTCGAAGGACAGCTTACTTGAAATTCGATTTTGTCGCGAAGTTTCTCGAACATGCTAAGTATATCGGAAAAGCTAGGACGACGGTCCTTGTCATACACCCAACAAAGTAGCATTATTTTGTAGCTGAAAAGTTTAGATCAGTGCACAAAGCGTTTTCTCAGCTTCTTCAAACATTTCCCATATGGATAAGTCACAAGATGAATGTAAGTGCATTCTATAAATTATTATATCACTTGACAGACTTGGATAATAACCACTAGCCGCACGAGTAGAGCGGTGGTTAGATGTGCCGTGCAATACACATGGTTCGATCCCACTTCCCGGGCTCACCAAACCTTTCATTCTTCTGTGGTCGGCCTGGTGCCAAACCTATCTGAGAGGATACAGCAATGACTGGATACATCGCTAGACCACCGCAAGTCATTGTATGGGCCAGATATTCACTCAGTAATCTCTAACGATGCTCAATGAAGTTAAGTGCTTGGCGAAGTATTGATCAATGCTAAGAGCTTCGTCCTTTATTATTCACTTGTATCACTTGTAATCTAATCTGGTCCAACTGAATGACATGAAGAACAATGCACTCATTCCTCTTGAGAAATCTTTCAGTTTTGTCTTTGTGGCTAGAAAATCCTCCATCCGTTTCCAAGTGCGTTTTGTAGGTAAGAGGCGCAGGAGAATGCATACGCTTACAGATATACTTTTAGTGTATACGAGAAACGTACATGCTAGAGAAAATCTCTAATCGTGACCTATGTTCCTCACAGTCATTTACTTATCTTCGCATTTTGAGCCTATTCATATACGAATGTATGAAAATGAGACGTGTAAGTTATCCAGCCTAGCAAAAACAGAGAGCCATTACAAAGATTCCTTCTTTGTCTCAAACCAGACAGCGCAAATCGCTTTTTGCTCGCATTTAAACACCCTTCACAAACACGTAGGGGCGGACTATTTAGCCGAGTGGAGATCCATCAGAGAGCTCGACGGACTCCAGAAACGCCCTCTAAATGCAAAAGTAAACTCTATGTTTAGAGAAGAATAAAGGCAGTTTTCAGAAACTGACACTAAACGAGTGGTAACTTACAGTTGATCGGGGCAGTACAGAGGTTTTGCCGGGGTGCCACCTTTTCGGACATGAGCGAGCACCTGCATGAAAAAGCAACGCCTAGTAAGTAGTAAAAGAAATAAAGATTTATCCAATGAAGATTAGAAAGCTACCTGACTGTTGTTCATAAAAGGATAGGGCTGCTGTCCCAACGCAACAATTTCATACATTAGAACCCCAAAAGCCCACACATCACTTTTGGAAGAAAAAATTCCATCCGAAATGCATTCGGGAGCCAACCACCTGAAGCAATCCCTTGTCAAATATATTCAACCAACTCGTATAACTATTAACAGCACAAATATATTTAAAAGAGTACCTAAGTGGCAGAAAATCTTCTCCACGAACTTTGTAGTGTTCGCTGTTGTGTACCCCTCGAGCTAGGCCAAAGTCGGCTGTAGAAACATCAAATTATTCAACTTAAGACATAATATCTCCTGTATTTAGCGCATAATTAAAACTGTAAAGCAATAGGAATAAAAATCCAAATATAAACCAGCCTAGAAAATATGTGGTCTTTATGGTTTGCTACTTCATCACATTTTTGTTTGCCCTTCGAAGACTTTGGGAAGCAAAGTCTGGCGAGGAACTGTTTTCGGATGTTGTTTTCCGACGTTAGACTAACGAAGCCCATAATAAATAGACCGTTAACTTATAGAAAATACTTGATGTCTAAGCAGATGGTCACTTTATGACAAATTTTCGAAAACACTATCCATGTCAGGCTTCTCGGTTGAGCGAACCCCACAATTTCATGCGCACAATGTCACATGGATTTTAAGCAATTATAAAACGAAGTAGGACTCTTCTGAGCTGCATTCTTAAAAACTCTCACAAATAAAGTTTAGTACTAACTCATTATGGAATGCTTTCTACAAAATATGTTTTCATGCTTCCCTTCGAATACACATGATGATAACAGAATCATGGTATAACTGAGCTATTTTTACCACCTTCATTATGATGGTCCCATTTGCTTCTTGTGAAAAAATAGCATACCTATTTTCGTCACCCGATGGTGGTGTGGTGTTTTCGAGCTGATTAAACAATTCCTCGCCGCCAAGTCTCTGTGTACATGGCGATTCGACTCCAAATAAGCACATCCGCGACCGACGTCTATCAGCATTGACAGGACGTCCCGCAGTGAAAGTTGCGATGGGGAAGAATCAGTTGGCGAACTAAACCAAAGGCAACGATTTTGAGCATGTTGGGTAGAGATTAAAGAGTAAACGAATGTTTCAAAAACAAACCTGGATCGCAAAAAATTTAGTAGATCTCCACCTTCCATAAGCTCGAGGACCAAATATTCGTTAGGCCCTTCCAAACAAACTCCAAGGAGCTTCACAATATTTGGATGATCAAAATTACTGAAAACAACACAATTAAAAATATTTATTACAACAGACTAAGTTAAAGACCCTTTCTACTTAAGACAATTTCTCGCTACAGTTTCCTAATAAAGGTCTTTGTGGCGTTCGAGGTGTCCTGTAATACAAAGTGGATCAATCACTGATTCTATCGCGCCAATGCAATAATCAGGCTCTCCATTCTTACAGGCCTACAAGTCGGTGGCAGACTTGTCTCGTAGGGTAGAGCCGGTTACAATAACATATTATACAGGCCTGATGTGCATCCAATCTCCATCTCCAACGACGCTTGATAAAAGCGAATATGTGGCGAACCTCTGAGGAATTGATCTACGCCGAGAGATTTGACTTTTTCTCCTCTCTATTAATGTGTAGTTCTTTTATAACTTCGCGAGCAAAAACACGAAAGCCTTATGTTATTCTAAAAGAACTAACTTCATCAATATTGCTTCCTTCATAAATTTGATCTTTTCTGATTCTTCATAACCTGGATGTAAAGTCTGAAATTCATTTTAAAAGTCACAAAAACTACTCATTACCAATGTCAGTATTACCTTTATTGCCACTCTGGTCTCTCTGTCCCTCATTGGTAATTGGGTGGCTACACCTTCCCACACTTCTCCAAAGCTTCCTGTACCCAATTTCTTTTCTAGACGAACGAAATCCGAACGTACATGTGGAAGATCTGAAACATATTAAAAATATAGAAGATAATTCCCTTATTTTTATTTTATTTTATTTTATTTTATTTGATCCGTCTTCAAGTCTGCTGTGCGGATCTAAGCACTTCTCACACTCGATTCGTTTCCTCGAATCCATTGTCCACGAAGATCTTCCAAATTTTATGTGTGGTTTCGGTTGCTGCTTGAGGATTGCCATTTGAACTTGAATGTCGTAGAACGCTGGTCAAGCAATTCTCTCTGGAGTCCTGAGATAGCCGGGCTGGAGCGCTCCTAATTGGATCACAGAGAGTGATGTTGTTTTCCCCAGATAAGTCCGCCACTAATTTCCCTACCCCGGAGGGATGAGAAGCTTGGCTGGCGCGGAGCGGAATCGAGAAGGCACCATGCTCGTGATGACGGACATTACTACCACTGTTTCCCGCTCCCTACGGGAGATAATGCTACACACAAATTCATCTTTGCTAAACAGCTGTTTATTCGTTACTTACTTCTCAGTAAACCATAAGAAAAAAGGCTAAGATTAAATGATATTAAGTTTAAAGAAATCCATTTACTTTTTATTTCGTTAATCATGTCCGGTGGCATCGGTTGGCTTGGAGCATGATTTAAACCAGCAATTTTCTCCAATGTAATGCAGTTCTCGTCGTGATTCCGTTCTTTTTTTAATTCATTTGCACGCGCCCGTACTCGGCCTGCAAAGGTTGTCAATTACGGTATCTCATTGTTAAAGTGAGGAGTTAAAAGTGGTTTGTAATAGAAAGAACCGACTCATGAGAAGAATCAGCGCCAAAAGTATTAGGATGGCGAGGAGTGATGAGGTAAGTAAGAGGTAGAGCCACGATTGTGACCGTTCTCCGGCAATAGGAGGAACTGGAAAGAGCAGTATTAGTATTTGTAACCAATTGATAAAAGAAATATCTTCGACAACAACAGCAACAGTGATGAAATATGTGCTATAATAAATGACGATTATAAAAGTGGTAAGCCTATCCATGCGGGGTCGACAGATTGGTGCCAGACTTGTCTAGGAGGATAGCAGTAGTGGAGTAGTACATCGGTAGGCTACCGCTAGTCATTGTAAAGGCCAGATATGCATTCAGTCACTCCTAACGATGCTTAATGAGGTCGAATGCACGGTGCATCCCACAGGGATTGATCAAAGCCGAAAGGTTTATCCTTTTTTTCATTATAAAAATGACTGTGGATATTATCATCATAAATTTTACAAGTACTCTGCAATAAATGCTCGCTGTCAATATTGTCGTACATAACATTTCAAAGCATAATTCCTACCTTGTAATTTTCCACGTGACACTTTTTTTTTAGTACCTGGTTCACAATGAATTTAGACTGGTTGAAATCATGCTCCCAAATCATGAAAATCGGAATGCTTTGAATGATGAATTCAGATTTCGACATAGAGCAATGGCACCAACTCGAATTGTAAAGCGCAGTGCGAGATTGGACTCTGAAGTCATAAAATCCCTTAACGTTTCGTGTCGGGAATAAGAAAGTCTCTACAACGGAGGAGCTCTACCCCGCTCGTCAGCAAACAACGGCAAACATCATCTCAGCTTGACAATTCTTCCTACAGAAGCTATTTGGAAGGGGAATGTTGCAGGTCAATGCAAAATTTTCTATCCAACAACAGGCTTGATATTTGGAAGCACTTAAAAAGTGAGAAATCTCTAAAAATAGCCACGCCTGGATTAAACGAGTGGCGGCGAGATCATCGCGACAAAGTCTTTTCTGCGCTCCGCTTACGAAAAAAAGAAGAAAAAAATTTCTCGATAACACTGTGACGTTCCATGGAAGAGGATGAAGTGAGATCCACCTTCTAAACAATTAAGAAAAACAAAATTGCACCGAAAGATGGTTATGATGACTTTTGTGCTACCGATAGATGGAAACATCTGATACACTGTCTTGAATCTTGGCAAAACGACCACAGCAGAGAAGCACGATCATCAAGTCGACTAAACCTCTAGTAAACTGCTGCGCAGGTATCTAGACGTGACCAGTAGAAAGGGTTTGACTTTCTTCGGTGACTACTCTTCAGCATTCGCTGCACAACTAACGCTGCAAGGTTTGAATCAGTTTGGCTATGAAACCTTGCCCGGCCTAACATATTCATTGGATTGTTTACTAACAAAAAACAATTTTTTATAAATATGTGTGTGCATCCAAATAGATCTCATTTTAAATAACAATGTGGTGTTTGAGCACAGTAGAGCCAGTACCTTTTTAAGATGCCGATCAAAATTAGCAATATGTTTTGCAACAACCAATGTAGTAACTTTAGCATAATGTAGTCAAGAGTGCACCTACCGACCGTATCGTTAGAATAACCATATGCCCCGAATCCTTCAGTATTTGCTGCTCGTACACGGAATTCCCAGGATTTTCGGCTATTCTTCGCTGGCCTCCACCATAGCTTCCAACCATCCAGACCACGCTCGGCGATCTCCCATTCCGACGAGCGATTTTGTCTCATCTGAAATTATCGCACATTATATCACATTTCTACTGAAGTACATCCTCAACTCATTCTAAACATACCTCCACTGCATAACTGGTAATGGGTGATCCACCATCACTGGCTGGCTCCTTCCACGACACGATCCAACCTTCATCATCCATTCGTGCATCAACCTGTTGTGGTGCTGTTGGTACTCCAGCTGAACGACGACGCATTAAGCAGGTCTCAAGAATGTTTCAAATCCCCTCTTCTTAATATCAAATTTCATTGAATGAATTAGTTACGGCGGCAACAGATTGCACATTTAATCAATAGCCTAGTAAAACAAATAGTCGCAACGAAATCAGTCTCTGGAGAGATAAATCAGGAGCCGTAATATTGAAACACCATTCATAGACCTAAGCGTGTCTTAATTTTGCACAAGTCGAATAAAAATTACTTCTTTGAAAAGTACCACACTAGCATTAATAAATGACCGCACAGAAGTAGCTTGCCTTTTGTCTTTGCGTGCTGAATGCCCTGATAGTAGAACTCTTTGAATGCTATGACTCCATTCTCGACAGAAAACGTTCCCGAATAGACAGCAACAAAACGATAGTCGTACGAAGTTGCCGACAGGAGACCGTTTATGAGAACTTAACAAATTTGTATATATATTTATATGTATAAATATATAAAATTTCCAGCACAGAAATACAGCAAAAAATTCTTTAAAATTCTCTTGAAATGATTTCCTACATGGCACATTGAACGATTTAATTAATTAAACAACGGAAGGGGTGCGTAGCAGTAGTGATGTCGTCCACAAGAAAGCAAGAGTCTAGCTCGAGCTCCTTCTCAACGTAATCCTCCAATCCATGTGGGAATGCCTTAGCTTGGTTATCTCCAAGATTGTAAGGAAAGTCGACTTGACCAGGTTTCTACGACATTCATAAAGAAGAGAAAATCCTCAAAAAGCAGCCGAAGCAAAGTGTGCGGAGACCACTGTGGACGATGAATGAGAGGAAAACGAATAGAATGCAAGAAGTATTGGCATTCATATAGCAGATATGACGAGGAATCATGTAAAAAAAACTAAACAATATTTTGATATGTGTACGCTGACCAAGGATGGTAGATATGCCAGGGTTAAATGAGGCGTTTGATGGCGCTTTCCAGTCACTCGTTCCACCAGTCTAGATATTTCCAAATATTAAATTATTTAAACAGATAATTACAAATGTCTACAGAAGAGGAACCTCTTTATACTGTACCGCAATGATAGATGGGGGTTGTTCAGCTTGCAAGCTGTTCCATCTGAGTAGAAGTGATGATCCACTCACGTTGTCAGGCCGCAGAGTTCCAGGGATGTCCTTAGTACGTGCAGACGCCTGTGAGTTTTTTTTTCAAATCTTTGACTTTCTTTTCTTGAGAAATAATTTTTGTGATTCATATAATGCTCGAATATCTTCCTCGATACTTGTCTGCTCGTTTTACGTTAAACAATTTAATAGTCCATCAAAATCTTGAGAGCGTCGAATATTTAGACAAAAGATTCGCAACGACTATTAACTACTTGATAGCTCTGACCTCTTGCGAAATCGCTTCAGCATCTTCAAGGAACTGTGAGTTAAGATGAGATTCATGAATAGACGTAGCCTGTGTAAAGAAGCATAATTAGCAAATACGGAGAAAAAGAGCCTGAGTTCGCGACGCGATCATCACAACATTAATGATTGATTGATTTTATTTCACTATTGATGAAGACAAAAGAAATTAAGTAGAATATGAGATAAAAAAGAAAACGAAAGCAAAGGCGATAAAAAAACTTAGACCCGGATGGTGTAGTGGTGAAGTGCGCTGCTCCCCGGTAAGGACAACAGCGCGTGTTCGTTCCCCACTGCATACACCTGTGGTCCGGAGTTTTGCAGATATCTCAGCATTTCATACGAGTTATATTTCACAACATACCCTGCCATTAAGAAGAAAAACGCAGTAAATAAAAGAGTTAAAAAACTTAGAGTTGTATGATCACACCCAGAACTTGTACTCAGTCGCCGGCCGTAGGTTGGCGATTTTCGCTTGACACGGGCTGGCAAGACACGATGCTGAGTCGGAAGTGGTCGTCGAAAACGCTCCATTGGCGTACTCCTGCACTGCAATGCTGGATGGAGATGTGAGACCAGACGCCTGTTGTGAGATCTGAAATGCTGCGGGTGCACGCGGAAGAAAAATGACAGTTCTTGGAAGCTTATTTAAATTTAAGCCCCAGAACAAGAAAATGGGACAACATGAAGCTTTTTTATAACAATCTCGCAATGTATGTCTTATCAAGTCTTGCATATTTTTCTAAAATTCTAAATGTGCGTATTATACCTTGTACTTAATTTCAGCAATAGGGGCGTTTAATGTTGCAGGCAAATTCCAATATAAGTAGACAGTGTCAGGGGTGATGGCAACTGCTTGCAATGAACGCGGAGCAGATGGATATCCGAATCTTAAACCATAAATTCTCGCAGTTCACAGCGGGTTGAAATCAGATTTAGAACTATCGTACCCTGTTCTGAACGGTTTTGGATCCGATGTACCACTAGCTTCCGAGTATCGATTCAGCCACGCCACTGTTACTTCGTAGTCTGTTTCTTTATCAAGGATACCATTTTCCACATGAATTTTCTCAGTATAGCTGCGTATATGCTTGACTTTGTCCGAATTTTTTCGGTTGAAATATACCTAAAACTCTGTTGCAGTTTCTCAAAGAAGAATAAACCATTAAACAACATAGTGGTGAAATGGCTCAAATCATTAATGCTTCAATCAGTCCGTCAACCTAAACCTCTGCAAAGACTAGCTCATTTTGTGAAATTCTCATCAGTTAACTTATTCTGACCTCGTAATGAGTTTGTGGTAACGAAACACCGTGACAAATGTTCGGCGGAGGAGGCTTCGAAACCTCAAGGTAAGCACCAGTTTTGCCTTCGTTTACCATGGTGAACTGTATTCCAGCGGATGATGGCAAAGCGAAACAAGCCCGTTCTGAAATCACACGGCTCACATGAGAGCAGAAAAATGCCAAGTTCTAGAGCTTTTCCACCAGTACGGTAAAACCTGTATAAATCCTTTTTTTGATTAGTAGATACGGGGTTGTTACAATACTATTTATCAACTACGCACCAAAAATTTTTCTTGCTGAGGTTATGCAACTGTTTTATCCAGTATATTGCGTGTCAATTTGACCTTTTCAAGTCCTGAAGAAGGCGAAACTGCCAAAAGGTCAGCTATTGTGATTACACACTGTAATAACAACGTCGTATCTGCTCATCAAGAAAACAATGAATCGTTGACGTTAAAGGTAAGTCGAATCCTGGATTTACCATTTTTATTTCCATTCTTTCACACCTTTATTTTCATAAATAAATCTTTATATCAAAATCCCTCTGAGAACAGTCTTTGGAGAGTCATAGCTTTAAAACACTATTGGGAAAATCCAACTAGTTCCGAGTGCATTCAGACTTCTTTGAAGGCTCCAGTCTACTTGATCAAAAGTACATTTGCAAATTTGATAACCTGACAGACTAAATGCACTCACCAGGATATGGTTGGCTGCTCTGACTCACAGCTAGGATTTGTCGCAGCGGTGGATACGCAATAGGTATGGGCACCACAGTTTCGCGACCGTAGATTAGCATTTCGGAAGAGGTAACGAAGATGAATAACTTGTCGGCTATTGCAAAAGCAGACATAGCTTTCAGTCCCTTTTCTGGAAGGAATGATTATTTTACCAAAACTGTACAATCATTATCTCAGTCTCAACCTCACTGCTGTTGCATTACATCTAACATCAACGTTTCTAAATTGAGTAGTCTACGAGATAGAGACTCAGCTCACACATACAATGCAAAGATTGCGTTAAATTTACTGCACGCAACAGTTTTATTTACGGATGGCACAGAAAAACTTGCATATTCTTTAAAAGCATATCATACTAGTGGTACACTGTACCTCCAAATTTGTTCCAGTCGATGCGCACCTCGTCGCATTTGTTGTTTTCCTCCACATCGATCACAACCAAACCATTCCAAGTCAATGCGTAGATCTTTGGTGAAGATGCACGATTCCAAGCAAACTCTGAAATTTCACCAAAATATTCAAGGGTTTATGAATGCGTCGTTTTCTTGTTCAGCAATCGCGCGGTTTTTAAACAGCATACATTTACTTCCATAGAGAAACACAATACAATACAACACTAGGTGACGTTTCGGCAGTATCGCCTTCTTCAGAGCCTGGAACTAATATCGAAGGGTATACTGATATACAATCTACTAAACCAAACACTTCAATAACACTTCCAAAAAAACGAAAAACTCTATGGGTAATTACATGATCAACAGCCTCTCAAAAACTCACTGCATTTTAGGTGACTTCCAATAAGGAAGCTTAGAACAGCTGATTATAGTCGCATATGGTTGATGACTGCACCATCCCGCATCAGAAATTGATGCGAACACAGGGGGTCGGGTCCAATATGGCCTCTGGGCATTCATCCCTGCTATTCATTGTAGGGCTTATGGCAGTTATCAAAAAAGCCTCACAAAGTTTTCGCGCTGGTGTTTTTAGCCTCCTGTGCAAGGATATTGACTTTTACTTCAAAATCGTCTCCGCTATGCTTTTGTTTCCTATGCCTGCTTAGTTTTATTAGACCTAATGACAAAATAATCTTACAACGAAAATTCGAAAATCTTTTCGGTAATTCACATGTCTCAGTTTCAAGAAACAACCACAAACGAATTCCTTACGCTTCTGATAATAGTCAAAATGGGATTGATAATGCACCAAGAAAATATAGGGTCGCTGTCCATAACAATACCTGAGAGTGCGCGTCCGCTACTAGAATTGGGCCCAAGTTTTGCATCATCACAGCCCATTTCTAAAACGACCCTCCGTAGCATGCAACCTTTATGAGCTTCAAGATCGACTCCGATATCAGGCCGAACAGGAAACATCAAATAGAAACAAAAATTAAGAGGCGGCGGCACTACCACCATCTCCTTTCACTAAAACGTTTTTTAGACAGCAGGAACCTAAGAATAACTACTCTACTCTACTCTACTACTAATATTACTCTTAATCACTACCGCGATAGAAAGTTTATCTCTAACCTTACAATAGCACAAAAATGTGGCATGCGAGAAATTAGAGAATTAATAAACTCGAAAACAATAAGATTGTCTGTTAGTGATAAGGGGGAGAGTTCGTAGTTATCCCTCGCCAGCTGGATGTTGAGATAACAGAGGAACATCTTAGTGATGCCACTCTCTATCGCCCATTCTCTGAAAAGGAATATAAAACCCAATACCGAAAGCTTAACAATCAATAGGCCAGTGTGGCAAAGGCTGCGGGTTTAAAATCATCGGTTGTTTCGCACTTTAAAATCGATAGACCAACATGTACCGTCCTATACCTACTTATTAAAACACATAAGTTGGTATCACCTGATGATCATTCGTCAAGCAATCCGTCATCATTTAAGGTTAGACCGATCATCTGCTGTGGAGACGAGCCAACGGATAGAATAACCTGGTTTTTAAGCCTGATACTTACCCAGTTGCTTAACCACAATCCGGCTCACCTCACAAACACCCAAATGTTCCTAGAACGTCTACGTAACACGTCTCCTAATAACGCGTACGTGATGGAGTCTTTCGACGTTACCGTACTGTACACCAACGTGTCGAATGACTCCGCAATGCAAGCCATCTTCGAACTTCTTGTTGAACATGAAGGAAGAATAAATATGGATGGCTTGTCCATCCAGCAGCTAATGGCTCTCTTAAAGGAGTGCCTAAACTACTCGATTTTCAGATGGTCTGAAAAATATTTCGCGCAAATAAAGGGGTTGGCAATGGGACAGCGATTGGCACCAAGCCTTGCCATTGTGTGTATGTATAAGATAGAAGCCCTTGTTCTCGACATCCGGCCACTACTCTGCTACAGATATGTAGGTGACTGTTTTGTCGTTTTCTCTACTCAGGAGGAAATGGACAAATGTTTTGAATTATTGAACTAGCAGTCTGAGTACATAAAGTTCACCCTAAAGAAACAGAGAAAAAACTGGCTTCCGTTTTTAAACGTTCAAATTAACCTATGAAGTAGCGGTTACCTGACAAAGTAGTAGCGAAAACCAAGTAACAAGAACATCCTCGTCCATTTCCTTCTTCCCACCCTTCACACACAAAGAGGGCGATTGTGAGAACCATGTTTCGAACAACCACCTCTGTGTGCACTACCAGGGAACTAAAGGAAGAATCGCGCGACTTGGCTCGGCAAATAGCCATCTCCAATGGCTACGAAATCCCACGAGATAAGTTTACAAGGAGAACGACTCGCCCACGCGAAACACTTGGCCAAAAGAAAGTCCCGTTTATGTTGCCTTTTATAAGCGATGAAGTAAGCGCAGCTATAAAACGATGCTTAAGAAGGGCAGGTCTAGAGGAATCGGTAGCGATAGTTGAAAGTACCACCGACTACTCTACGTCACCAATTAGTTCGCAACCGCCTGTATGACCGTCTGTGTGAAACAACAAATTGCGTAATTTGCCCTTACGGCAGGGACGGTGATTGCATGAGTTCAGGTACGATATACCTGATCTTTTGTAATAATTGCGGAGATGACTATATTGGCGAAACGGGCAGACCTTTGTGCATCCGCATAAAAGAACACCTAGATGGGAAACGAAAACTAAGACGAAGCACCCCACTAGGCACGCATATGATACAAAAGCATAGCGGAGACGATTTTGAAGTAAAAGTCGATATCCTTGCACAGGAAACTAAAACACCAGCGCGAAAACTTTCTGAGGCTTTTTGCATAAAAATGCGAAAAACCCTACAACGAATAGCAGGGATGAATACCCAGAGATCATACGCGACCTGACCCCGTATGTTCGCATCAATTTCTGATGTGGTATGATGAAGTCATCAACCGTATGCGACTATAATCAACTGTTCTGAACTTCCTCATTGGAGTTATGTAAAAAAGCGGTGACGAGAAGCTGTTGACCATGTAATTACCATAGAGTTTTTCGTCTTTTTATAAGTGTTATTGAAGCGTTTGGCCTAGTAGATTGTTTATCTGTATACCCTTCCATATCAGTTCTAGGCTCTGAAGAGAACGATACTGCCGAAAGGTCAGCTAATGTTATATTGTATTGTGTTTTTCTATGGAAGTAAATGTATGCTGTTTGAAAACCTCGCGATTGCTGAACAAGAAAACGACGTACTCATACTCCAATGCTGAGGTTAATAGAAAGTCGATCCTGGGAACTATTCAAGGGTTTCTTAAAAACTTCATTCTCCAAATGTACTTCGGCTCTCCTAATTATTACTCTATTTTTGATCAAAACTTCATTAGCAGAGTAAGAAAAAGAATAAGAAGTACGAGAATTTTCACTAACCTGTCATCATCCATGTGACTGTTTGACTGGCCAAGCAGTGCGCTACTAAAGCCATATTCTTCACATGATTTCTTGAGAGGTTAAGCATGAACAAAGATCCGTTCCTTGTTAGCAAATAGGCAGTGCTTTAAAAAAGTGTTAAGAAAGGTGGCCGTTAATTTCGTCTTGTCTAAAGATAATAACAACAATAATAATAGTAACGATAATAAGATTAATAGTATTCACAACGATGACCAATTTGTAGTTCTGCAAACAAGAATAGAAGTGCTTTTATACCGCAACGAGCCTCCACGGTTGGCACGCCGTAGTGAACATCCCAACGTATTTTTTTAATTCTTTGTGAATATCACATAATACAGCTGCTGTCAGTTTAGTTTTTTTGGTCCTATACTATTCTTCTAGTGCTCTTAAAAAAATTCTCCGTATAGTCAGTTTTGAAATAAATTCATAGGAATTTGCAAAAACCTCACTTTTTGAATGGATCAAAGGTCAGTTGCTTGGCGTCAGTGGCTCCTGTTGAAAGTTCGATGAGTTTTCTAGGTGTGAGAAGGGACGTGGTCAGAAATGCATCTAGTGGTAGTTGGTAGAGAGCCTGTCCAGATACCAGTAAAAGCCTATTTCCGACCCAGTCAGACGTCATCGTGTCCACTCGAGTCACATCACCACCAATGGAAACCTAAAATTCGTACTTGATCATCCCACGATTACATCCATATGAGTTCTACCGAAAGCGAGGAATGAAATAGTGGATTTTGAGAAAAAAAAAGTGTAAGCTCATGATATGGAGCTCAGCGCTTCTATCACGGAAATGATGAAATGGTTTCATTTTGAGCCAAAGTGTCTCAGCATATAATGAGCTTTACTAGCTGGGATAAGAATCTTTAAATTCTACAGATAATTCTCGATAGGACACAAGTAATATTAGACCAAGACAAAATCGTGATTTCTTCGTGCACGCAACAATTATTTTACCCAACGTTTCCCATAGAAACATTATTTCGAAGACTTAAACGATTAAACAATGCGCGCTTCGTAGCCTGCTCACACATCGCTTGTGTTTGTGGCTACAATGCCGTGCTAGAGATTTTAAAGTTTCAAACATAGCTTCCAATATTTCTAAAGTGCGAAAGTAACATAAATATGTATATGTATACAAAGCCAATTATCTAACATAATTCCCTGAAATGCTGAACTTTGAAAGTACCGTAATTCTCCAGTAATCATTGCTTCTCAAGAAAATAAACACATGACGAATGCTTCAAAAACCATGGTACTGAAACACTTTGTTCTACCCATATATTCGTCCCTAATTCTCTTCTTCCCAACCTTAGACTATTTGGCTTGTTTTGGGTTAAAAAAATATTACTCCTGGTAAGACTTTCGTAACCCATGCCAGTCAGATCTATCGATGGACACATCTCATTTGTATCGTATAGAAAAGAATTTGCTACCACCTCGTCCACTTTTATGAAAAAGGAATGCTTGAATGTTTAGAATAGGTTACCGAACTTCTACCTGTGTACGAAATTCCAACCTAACACTCTCATGAAATGCTGAGATATTTGCAAAACGCCGGACCACAGGTGTAAGCAGTGGGAAACGAACACGCGCTGTTGTCCTTACCGGGGAGCAGCGCACTTCACCACTACACCATCCGGGTCCTTCGCTCCGCATGTATCTCAGCTAGTTCTATCGATCTTTTTGCCATCAGCAATCACCCGTCAACG